GGATGGATGGATGGATGGATGGATGGATGGATGGATGGATGGATGGATGGATGGATGGATCAGGAACAACAATTGAAAGGTGGGCACAGATGCAGCAGCACAATGGCCAAGCTCCAAGCCCAGAGCAATGAGGCATCCACGAGAACTGTTGGAATTGTCAGCAGTGGACAAACGTAATTCATTGTTTGCAAATGCAGCCTAGCTCCTTAAAATAAAATAAAGAAAAGCAAATGCTTCATCTGTGTTAGTTACCTGGCCAGGGAAGGCTGMCCATGAGCCAGCTGTGTAATGTTGATATAAACCCCACAGCTCAGGCAAGATCTACTGGGTGGGTTTGATCAAGGACTAGTGCATCTTTAGGAATGTGAGTCAACTGGAAACAGATGTTCTCATTCTGTGGTGCTGCACAAGAAAAAGTCCCTTCCCTCTGTCCTCCCTTTGTCCTCCCTCTGTCTCCAGATATATCATTAACACTTTTTTTCTTCTCATTTTATTTGTGTGTTTTAAAGTAGTCCTGCTTAAAGAATCCTAAATTGTGGGGAGGAATAAGAAAGGAAGTGCCAGTAGGTCAGAACAGCAAAAAGCCAAGCCACTTACAAACTTGCCCATCAACAAACTCCTCTCACAAAACTTCCTTCGTCAGTGGAAATCCCAACCTCACCCACTAAAGCTCTTTCCAAAAACAACGCAGTTGGCACCGTATTCTGTTTGTGTTAACAAATTTAGGCTGTTCCAGGCCAAGAAAGAGGGAGAAAAAAAACCCTTAGAGCCCTTTGGAGAAAGTAACCCTCTTGGAGTTCCCTTAATATTGTAAAAGGGACTCAGGAAACAGTTTAGAGACTTGGGCTATGCTCTTCTGAAGAAGGTGACTTTGCCAKACAGTCTACCCTTGAGACAACAAAATTCACCCAGGATTATTTTCTTTGTAAATTTATTTAAGAGAAAGAATACACCCATCTCCACCACCCTACAACTCTCTGTCATGTTTCTCCCTGCAGAACCTCCCAGATGAGCACCACCAACCAACCCTGCATCCCTTTCTGGCCTGGGGCTGCTCCTGGTTTAGATGTCAAACACAGCACCCTCGCAGAATGGTTTGTGCTGGCACACCCAATCTACCTGAAACACTGCTTGGGGGTACCCCCTGGTTCTGCTTTAGGGTCCTTTTGGCATCTGATTCCCCAYAATCACTGGTGAAGATGCACCAGTACAACCAACATGCTCACACAGAAGCCTCTGCTATTCAGGATGACAATTCATCCAACCTTTCTTTCATCCAAATTCCCCCTTAGAGCTCATGCTGATCTCATTTGTATCACCAAAACAGGGCAATTAAGGATCATCCTACAGTTTTCACTGTCCTACTTGGCCTTTCCACCTCTCYACCTTTTCTTRAATCTACTCTCAAGTCTAAAATGARAAAGYTTTGTGTTCTTCAYRAACAGTAAAAATAAGAYGAAAACCRTGTTTGTAGCCCCAGAGCTGAGGCTCCCAATGTCAGCAGTCACTTTGCAAGATCTAYATGAGTAGCTGCATCTCCCCTTTCCAAACTGACTCCCTTTGTGCAGAAGACTGTCCCAGTTTTTGGCTGAAAGTGTGTGTACGAGTGAGCAGAGCATCACTCATGAGCTTGGATTCTGTATATTTGAAGGCAGAGGTCAGTGATGACCAGGARTATGGGATTCTGTGGCAGAGTGTATCTATTGCATTTTGTTTTTATAAGTTATGGTGGTGCAAGTGTTGTTAATGTGTAGGAAAGAAAAATGAAAAAAAAAAAATTTTTTTTTTTAAAAATCTTCTTATTTGCATTTTTCCCAGTTGAAGGGATATCTAGGAAATAAGAGAGGATGTGCTCTCCCTGAGTAGCCCAGGCCTTATTCATCATC